AATATTTCAGCCACTGCACATTTCCTGTGAAAAAATACAGCCTGTGTTAAGCTGAAGCTTTGGAGAGTCTTGTCCTTCAAAATATCACTTTTAATTAAAGGTTTGCTAAAACATATTGTTTTGTAACCATTTTATTGACCTGAAATTATATTATGAAGAAGAAAAAGAATTATATGCTATTTTCATGTCAAAACAACATTTTCAGAAGCTTGAGTTTATAATAGAAGTCAGATGCATCTCACTGCTGGCAGGTTTTTTTTGTTTGTTGATATTTTTTTCCTGATGTTTTATAGACAAAAAAGAAAATACACAATAAAACATTTTTTAATTATAAATTCCATGGTTATAATATTGCTTTACACAAAATATAAATAATATAAATAATTGTAAGATATATTAAGATACATGATTGTTCCTATTGACCTTACGTTGGACTATGTATATTTGCCAAGTTTTTTGTGCATTTATAGTCTTTTAACTGTCTAGCTAACTCTCTTAGGTTACTCCTTGAAGTGCAGAACATAAGAACCAGAAAAGCATGTTGTTCCATCTTTTGACATAATTTTGAGGAATGCTGTAGAAAATAAAAGTGGCTATTCTGAGTTAATAATAGTTATTCTGAAAAATGGAAAATTATTGAAGCTGGCTAAAAATGCCAGGCTTTGAATAGTTTAATTGAAGAATGATTTGAAGAGCACTTTAGCACCTGTTTTTAAATCTAACAAATAATGTAATTTCTATTTTTGTGTTCTGTTAGATACACTTATGTTTTCCTGAAGAATTTACCTGCCACGAAGTTTTTTAAGAATGCTTTAGTGTTTATCCCCCCTCCCCCCCATTTCTTTTTTTAAGAAATTGAGAAAAATGTTCCTTTTATCATTTATTCTTTTATTGTTTATTATTTTTAGATTCATGGGTATTCTTACAAAAAGTGAAGATGATGATTCTTGATGAAGATTTATTTTTCTTACGTAGAAGGGTTAAGGGACTTGGAAAATGAAGCGGAGCCTGAGCTTCCCTGAGTAAGCTAACATAAGCAAAGGCTGCCTGTTGGGGACACAAACAAGTTGAGATCTTGATTTTTTCTGCTAAGGTGATATCACCTCAGGACGTGGAGCTTTGATGTCCCAAGCTGACAAGCTGTCTTGTGGGGATTTGGCCTATTTCAGTGCTGCAAGCACATCTCTCTCTTTTTTTTCTTTTTTTTTTTTTTTTATATACATATTACAGGAGGACATGAATTCATCAGGTACCGTCATGGTGCCGGAGACAGTAGAAACACAGGGTAAAAAATCAGCACCTGCTGTCACAGCTTTGCAATTTGAACTCACAAACACTGAGAGACACAAAAGTGGAAATCCACATCCAAGGTGATGCAGTTATGTCTCTATTGCAGGTTGAGCTCACGCCCTAGCCAATGGCTGTGGCTTATTTGTTTTTCTACCTCTCGATGAGCAAGTCCAAATTTGTGAAAAATTAAGCATTCATCTCAGCTACCAAACACTGAATAGAAACTGAAAAGTGTGCAGAATAATTTTCTACATCATTAGCTTTACAACAGTGGTTTAAATCAACTTTGGAAAGTTTACAACAAAATCATGGTTACAGCAGAGATCCGGAGCAGCTGTTGCTCACTGCCTCTTAACTCAGAGCTTGCTTGCTCTCATGCAGGCTTTGTGAATAACTAACCACCATTCCAATCATTTAATCATGGTATAAAACTGTCACATCCTTTTTGCATTTTACCTGAAGTCCCAAGTCCTTCTACAAGGCATCACAACTCAGATTAAGAAAATTAACAGTAAAGATCATTTATGATTGAAACTGCAGTATAAACTTAGCTATTCTGTCTGTGAAGCTAGAAAACACTCTACATTTGTCACATCCCTCTATTTTCACCTTACAGTTTTATATTCTGAGTATTTTAAGCAGCAGATCTAGTAGCAGATCTGTATTAGCACCATTAATAGCTGTCCATATTCACTGCTGTCTGTGGAAGCAGTGTAGGATGGGCAGTATTTTGGACCAGGTTAGAAATAAGCTACAAACACATACAGAGGTCCTCATGTCGGTAAAAAAGAAAACCTTGAATGCAGTTTATTTATGATTATAATCTGAGGTTATAAAGATGAACTCAGGGTCAATAGCACAAGTGCATTTTAACTCAGATGTATTATCTCTGGAGAGCTGTGCAGGGTTTGTAAGATTGTGCACAAGAATGGCACAGTCTGAATGTTCTCCCAGCTGATAAAAAAGTCTGTTACTCTCTTCCATAGGATATATACTGGCTGTACTTTACTAGTTTGTGTAGCATGGTCTTGAGGCAAGAATGGATTGAATAAATCATCTCCAGTCAATGCTTCCTGTTCATGTGTGTTTCATACTTATATTTCATTCTTTCATTTTCCTGTTTCTTTTGTATTTTTGCCCAGTGTCACTTCACAGTGTTTTGATTTTAGCAATACTTTGCCAATCTATCTTGTTATTGTATGCTATTACATGTTTCTGCTTTTCCTTTATGAAACTTATATATCAAAATAATTTAACGTGCTCTGTGAAGATATGAGCATACACTGCAAGAATGGATATTAAGATATCTGTCTTAATAGGTGTCGGGTACCACATGCAGCATGATCTGAGCAACTAAGAGCAGGTTAGAAGCCAAAATAACCTAGCATAGTGGTTCTGTCTTGATCTTTCATCACCATAAAAAGCATCCTGTATGGACTTGAGATCCTGATTCTGGTTGCAGTGTGATCTGGTCAGGAGTCAGTGATAACCATTCCATTCTAAAAGGATGTTCTTTAGTTTGATTTAAATCCTAAGTCCTTTGAGACCTCAGCCTCATAGTTGTGCACAGATAGGAGGGCTTCACTACATTCAACATGGACAGTTCTGGAAACCTGTTGTCGAGGAAATTAATAGAAAATACCTATAGCAGAAATAGTTTGCCTGGTTTCATTAGCAGTGCCAGCATCCAGCTATGCTGCTGAAAGACAGAAGAAAATTACTGTGCTTGTGTCAGGGAATTAATAGTTCATAGAGCTAATAGAGCTCCTTCTGCCATTATAGCAAGTGGACAGAAGTGTTCCAGTAACCTGTGCTCCCCGTGCCATTTATACAAATGAACTGACGTTGTCTTTGTGGAGAGTTGGGGGCTCACTGACTGCATTACAAAATGTACTGTACTGGAAGAAAAAGAATGTTTCAAGAAAACTGAAACATAGGCACGTGTTGAAAAGAAGACTGCTGCCTGGAGGGCTGGCAGCTGTGTCAGGAGAGGAGTGGGCATGCAGTCGATGTCATTCAGCTGCTGCCCTGCACATGGCTGACCCGTTCCTGTAGGGACAGGCGTAGACAGGCTGGGGTGAACCCTGAGCCCGATGGAGGTTGCTTGTGGGAAGCAGACCCTGCAGCGTTCATTCTCAGCTACAGCTGCAGTTTATGCCTGAAATCCTGAGCTCCTTTCCTGAGTATCAAGTCTTTTATCTTGTTTTGCCATCTGTGTATTTAAGGGTGGGATTTTGGCTTTCTGTCATCCTTGACCAGCCTTCACCAGGCTTCAGTTATTTCTCTTTACTGGTCTACTTGAAGCATCTCATTCAAAACTCATCCAGATTGTTTCACTATTTTGTCTTTTCTTATGCTTCATTCTGAGTAATTTTAAAGTATTTGGTATCAGTAAATCAGTACTTGGCATACAGTACTTCAGTAAAATTCGAAGTTTAAGGGGTGATATTTCATTTGAAATTAGGAAACAAATGAAATAGATGTGAGTTAAAACTGAGATTTTCAAGTAAATTAGGTCCCCTGATCTTGCTAAGTTGCATTTTAGTGTGGCATTTTAGTTTAAAATCTAAAAATTTGGACATTTTAGTTTAAAATCCCAGACTAAAAATACATTCATGCGACCTCTGAGAAACTGCTTAAGGCCAGTGATAAGAGTTTATTTTGGCAGAAAAAAACATCTTTCTATAGTATGTAAGGGAGCTTGCTCTCTTCTAAGCTAAACGTTAATTCAGACTGTGAATTAGGAAAAAAAAAAAAAAAAGTAGGAGAATATAGATATTTAAAATGGCATAAGTGGTCAGGAGATATTTTTAGTGAATAAATATGTTTAGCTGCAGGTCCTAATGCTGAGACATTGCAATGCTCAATGCATTACTGCTAAGAAAGGCATTTCTTTTAAATTTAACATAGCATATAGCTGTTATGTACAGTTTCTGTCTTCAGTAATAACTACAGCTACTGAACAATTTTTAATACAGTTTTTCAGTGGAAAAAATAAGTCTTGAGGGAGATGCACTAGTTTTAAGAATTTTTACTTATATCAAAAGCTTTTGCTGTAAGCCAGAGGCAACATCCTATTGCAAATAAATAAATCCTAGTGAGTAGAGTTTTTGTGTTAGCTCAGATTTCTCTTCTGCCTATTTCTTGTGGCTGTTCTGAGACAGGTACTTTCTCTTGTACTTTTTGGAAAAAGCACAATATTTGAAAATGGTGTGTTTTAAAATTCACCACTATTTTCCCAGGAGAAGAATACTATTTTTTGACTAATAATGACTATAGAAATACTCTTGGTCTATCTACTTCTCTCTTCATGTACCCATAATTTCAATACCCAACATACTGTATTTGGTTCAGTATTTTACATAATTTGTTCAGGTACTCAAACAGTTGTCATTACATGACAATATATTTATAATATTTACGGTCTTTTTTAAAGTACAGTTCAATTAACTTATAAGATGTGCAAACGACAGAAAATATGATAGCGTATGCTTTTATGAGGACCATTTGGCCTTTCTTCAAGAAGAAATTTGGCAATTTCTTCTTGGATTAAAAGAAAAGGTATGTGAATGTACCTGGAATAATTTGAATAGTTATTGAGTTATTGTGTTATTACAGTAGACTTCTCATATTTTGCTTTAATTTATTTATTTTTTTTTTTGTAATTCCTATACTACATAGATACATTATTTTTTTCTTTTTCTCCTTAGAAATTTTCCCAAGAGATTCCAGTCTAAAAGACAAGTTCATAAAACATTTTACAGGTAAGGCAAGTTGTTTGCACTTTATTTTACCCACAGATGTGTATTCTAAGATGCCACAAAAACAAACAAACAAACAAAAAACCACATGCTGTTAACTTTTTTGAGGTTATGCACTAAGTTTAACATTTTTGAAGTTATATTTCCATCATTTAGGGCTAGAATGTTTTAAAGAACTCTAATCACATTTTTAATCTTAAATGTATATGTATTTCTCCATAAACTTTGTCAGTCCTTCCATATCAATTTTTAAATCTGCCAATTTTAACTACTCATTAGACTACATATATCTTTCAGAATCAGATCCATGTGACTGTGTAAATTTTCACTCTATCAGCAAAACACTTTGTTCTATCTCATGATATATATGTGGGCTTGCTTTTTTTAACACAGCAAACAAAGCAAGAAAGGATTTAAACCAAGAAAGGGTGTTAAATCAGTGTAAATGAATCAGAAAAATCATTTGTTATTTTAAATATGGAAACTTAATATGATTGCAGTCAAATACTTATACTTGAAAACAGATGTAGTTATATCATACACTTGTTTTTTGTATTTTGTTTTGTAACTACTGGGAAAATTATTGTACTGGCTGTAAGCAAAATGAGCTGTCAGCAAAAACATCAACATGCTTGTGCTGATTCTTTACTTTTTTATTCCAAATGTTCTGAAATTCAGAAAAGTGAAGGTCTCAAAGTATGACACTGCAAATCTCTTGGTGATTTTAAGTATTATTGGGATTAGTGAAACTAAAACCTAGAGAAATAGATAGCAACAAAATAGAATTTGAGATAATTATGTCTTACCTCTTTGGAAATTTTGTACAGTCATTGGCAAGAAAGGAAAGAATTTGTTGTGTCCTTTGTATGTCAGAGGAGTCCTCAAACCTTTAGAATAAGCACGACAGTAAGGGTCTTTCTGCCAACAGCTAACTCCTAACTCCTGTCTAACAACACCTACAGGAGAAATGCTACGCCCAGCTGCCTCTTCACTCCCACAGTATAAACAAGAATAATTATGAACCTTATTAATGTCAATTCATGTGAAAAAGTAATGCAAGGTACAACTAGTGTTATACCATGTACCACAGGAATACTAGAAATTAACTTTCTGGGGAGGACAGACAAGAAAGAGTTGCTTATATTAATAATTTAACTGTTTCCTTTTAATATTTAAATCTGGAAACTTCTCAGCCATCATAGCAAGATCAACATAAGAATCTGAGTAGGATAGATGATGAATACATAGCAAGTTTCATTACTCAGAAACAGTAGTGAAAAACAGCCATGAGTTTTACATAAGGTATTTTGAGAATACTAAATCACAGAAAGGAAAAAGATCAAAAAGTATTTAAAAGCTTGTTTCTGGAGACATTTATTAAATTAATAGTTTTTTCCTGCATGGGTAGTTGCTATCAAAATTGCTGAAATTATTTGTCTAAGAATAGCTGGAATGAATAAGGAAAGCAGGTTCATTCCAAAATTCTTGGAAGTTTATTTCTTTATTGGCTCAGAATTACTTCCTACATTTTTTTTTTCTTTTTAATTATGCTCTTAAGATCTTCAGTGATGAGGTTTTCTGCCTGATTTTTCTTTTCCACAGCATTATTAGATCCTGTAATCCACAGTCTTTTTCCTAAAATACAACCTAAATGTATTTTTCTTGATTCTGTTCAAATCATAATCCTTTTTCTATGAACCTTATTTAAGTAAACTATTCCAATATAGTCCTTGCTAGTGCAAGAATTTGGACATCCTGAGTTAATGGATTTGGGGAAAAGAGGAGAGGGAAGGGAAATCAACACTATCTTCACAGTCCATTATCTGTAGAGTTTCAGGGTTAAGAGAATTTTTCTATGCTTGTACTTTGCCGAGATTAGTAGACTATTTAGAACCAAATAAGATCTGTATGTAACAATTCTTGACTGTAGAAACAATCATAAATAATATTTTGAGTCATAAAGCTATCTATCAATTCAGCTTGAAAAACCAGCTGACACAGATTGCTTTATAAGGCACAAATAAAATTAACAGCCTATTTTTGATGGCAAGAAGGAAAGTTCGAAAATCATATATTATCTGAAGGGACATAAAATTTATTTAGTGACAAAGCTGATGTTATCTCCATATATCTTGGATAATTTTAAATTGCATACTTTCTTGAGAGCCTAATTACATCCTCAGATAAAAAATAGCAGCAATCTTCCAGTTCAAAGTTGCAAAGGCTGCTTTGTCAGTTTATTCAAAAGCTTACTTGTGGCTGAAAAATCTCATGAAATCTACATATTACCGTAAAATATACCCAATGTTCAAGTCAGTTCACTGTCATAGGGAGAAATCTTCTTGCAAGCCTGTGGTAGTTGACCTCCATTATCAGGGAGCCAGGGAGTATTGGCTCCCTGTATTTTATGAGGCTGATAAACCACCTTTCAAGTGGTGAGATAAATAACTGTTGCCCAGAAATATATAGTATTTTTCTTTGACTGGAAAGTTAGTCAAAGCATTGTTGTGTCTCAGTCATGGTTTGGGGACAAGTAGCTGTATATTCTTATGAAATACTGTTATGGATTGATGACACTGAATTTCCAGAAAGAAGGGAGACTGGAAGAGCAGACACATAGCATACAACACCTTGGGCACACAGGGATTTGCCTCATCCAAACGTTTAAAACACATGCTGCCCTCTGCAGGTCTGCACCCTTTCTTGCTAGGACTGCTTCAACGAGAGATTAGGTTGTTAGATACTTTTTGGCTCTATTTTTCTCCTCAACTCCCACATCATATTCATAGAGAGCTTCTAAATGATGTGCAAATTAGAAGCATTAGTAGATCAAACTACTTCATCTTTGCAGGGCTTAGAAACTCATATTTGCTTAAAATATTGCTTTTATCTATCTTCAGAAATAATATCTGCATTCGTTCTACATTTTTTCTACATTATAATACTGACTACTGAGCTAACACTGTAGTTGCAACATTCTATTTTTCACCACAAACTGTACCATTAACTTGGAATTAATAGAATTTCAAGGGTAAGGCAGTCTATCACTTCCATTTTTCTGTTACTTGGATCATGAACATAATTGTGTAGTAATAAGATTGTTTTCTGTTATTTTAGTAGTATTGTTATAGTTGTGTTGCATCATAGTTGTTTAAGGTGTAGCAGAAAGTTAAGCATAATTTTATCAAAACACCTTGAAGTTAATTCTATATGATGACATGATTCATTGAAGCTGCGAAATCATGACATTGAAAGGTTGTGGTTAACTCCTGCTTACTCTCAAACAGGGCCAGTCACATTTTCATCAGAGTGTAGCAAGCACTTTCATCGGCTGTATCACAACACAAGGGACTGCTCAACGCCAGCTTGTAAGTTGTAACAAAGTCAGTTAAAATCCAGCTGTGATACCTGTTTAGAAGCAACTTGCTTTTCCTGCTCAGTGTTTGGTGTGCTGATTCTTCTGTATCATTTTCTCTTCACTTTAGCAATATTCTACAGAAGACATTGGAGCTCTTCTAATGCACAAATTAATTTCTGTTAATTAATGCAGTTACAGTCAACTGCTTAAAACAGAGATCCTTCTAAGTGAGACTAACATAAATGAAATGAAAACTCTGGGACAAAAATAAAAGAATAAAAAAAAAATCAGGCATGCCTATACAGACATGGGATATGAAGCCATTCTTTCCCACTCTCATTAGCTCTACTCATGCAATAAGATGAAATCTGAAAAACTCCCTTCTGTTAACCATCAATTGCATGTTTATATGTTGTTTTTGACTATGCACCTGCTTCTGATGGCAATTATCTAATATACGCCCACTGTTAAAGAACAAAAAAGCAATTTATTCATCATTTCTGTTATTGACCTATGCATTTCTTATCAAGTAGTATTCCATTATGAGATCAACAGAAGTTTTGCTGTAACACAGACTAAATGCAAATGTGTCAGAAAGATTTACTGAAAAAGAAAACTATTCTATTGTGTTATTAAACAAATAAAACAAAGAAAAATTGAACAAATAAACAAACAAACCAAAAAAGTCCATTACAATTAAGTTAACATTCTCTATTCTAGAATAAACTATGTCATTTCATTAGCAAATGTGGATCTCAGTGATGTGTAAGCACATACTATGGAATGGCACACTTTGGAAATTTTTCAGGACTTAACATAAAAAAAAATGACACTCCTTTTCACCCTTTGCAAGATGATGAACACTTTTTGTGAGCAGCTGAGAGGCTTTAGTTCTCACAAAAGCTCAGCACCTCAGAGGATGTGGGTTTAGAAAGGGCAGCCCTCAACTTTATCTGCCCTTATGCTGATCAGAAGTTGAAATATAGAAATCAAAGGCTGATTCTCAAAGGTTATAGCATTGTAAGTAGGCACGTAATGAGTAGGCTAAACATACATCTCTCACATTCTGCATAACAAAATGCCAAGCATGTTGCATATTGCATACCTTGACTATATGGATCCACATTACATAGATATTATTTGGACTTCCCCATCTTCTCTGAGTGCTTCTGCCTGTATTAAGAAACATAGTCATAACATTTCTCTTCTAATTAAACAACTTTTCTCTAAACAAGATTGCAGTTTGAACTGTGAGGAACTAATTTTTAAGTTTAACTATCAGCATAGATATTAAAAATGTGGTTAAAGCCAAAGCAGGTTTTATTTATCCTTTTCTTCAATCAGACCCAAAGCAGACAATGACTTTCATTCAACCTTAAACATTCTGTTGATCTAAAAGAGTTGAACACTCACCTGTCTGCAATTTATCCAGCATTCAAGGTAGTTATCAAGGCTGATCACAGCCAGGATCTTTTCCAGTCTCTTTAGAGGAGTTTGCTGTTTTGTTTCAGGGAAACCATAGCTGCCATAGGACTTCTGAGGACGGGTCCTCAGAATGGTCCTCTTCCTGTCCTACTGGCACAGCTAAGTTCTTTATAAACATTCCCTGAAGCACTGATCCCAGGTTAGCATTCAGTCCCTTGTTGTTTGACACAATTTCTGTTAAGTCTTACCAAGAAACTTATCAAACAAGACAAGAAGATTGTACTTAGTATTCTTTGTTACTAAATGCTTAGGTCTTTCCATCAGAAAGGATGTCATTGTCTCAGGGACCACTTGAAACAAATAGCCATTTGAACAGAGGACACTAAAGAAAGAGCAAGTAGGTCACTAGTAACTCTAATCTGATAGCTAAGATTTATTTAGACATGGAAAATATGGATTCCTATTAATGTTAACAGTAAGTGGAACAATAAAAAAGTTTGAAAGGGCCTGACCTCAGTACCTCATAGTCTGTGTATAGGAATACATGTAGCATCCCAAGTAATGAGTTAAGTTCCTTCAGGTAAAGTTGGGAATTGAACCTAGTCTTCTACCTCTTAGGAGGTAACTATGTAGTAGAAAATAAACTGCTTACATCTCTCACATTTCCTCTAGGGCCTCAGCTAGGATAAGGTATAATTTTGCATTTTGTGCTCATAATTCCATGAATTTCCATCAGAGAATGTTTTCATTGTGTAGACAGCCTGAAATTCTAGTACAAGCTCTACATTTAATTTGGTGCAGTTTTTGAGGGTATCTGGCAGATGAGATTCATTATTGCTGTTGGTAATTTTGTTTTACAGATTATAAAAGGTGTGCAAGGTTGCTAACAAGATTAGCAATGAGCCCTTTGTGTACACAGTCCTAGGATGTTTGTTATGTAAGTATCATTTTTTTCCCACTCGTGTTTTTTATTTATTTAATGGTCTAATGATTTACTCCACATTTGTACCTTGTTATCAGGTGTGTATATAGAAATGTTGTATTAACATCAATGTGCAGTTCTGGGTTTGCTCTAAGAACTGCCTACTACCTCATGGTAGTACATAGAAGCACAGATGTCTCTGATACATGCCCCAGTCATAGGTGGCACTACAGAGCAAAATCGTGCTCTGGATCACATCTTGCTACCAAAATTTTGAGAAGACTAACTGGTGAAGATGAAAAGTGTGTAAGGACTTAATACATTTGTTACAAGCTTTCAGTGAGAGAGCTTTGCTGTTAATGCATGGAAGAAACAGAAAGCCTTGGTCTCAGGTCTGAAGTCATAACAGACATGCTATCACTTTATTCATCTTCAGGATCACTTGTGATTCCCAAATTGTCTCCTGAAAATTTGCCTAAAGTTAATACCATAGATGGCAATAGGAGTAAACTGAATATAAAGGTGTGACAAAGCTGAAGTATTTCAGTAACAAGCTGTGGAAGGTAGCAGTTCACTAGCATATTAAATATGCTAATTAAAAATCAGTGTCACTGATAAAAGGAACATCTCCAAGTGAGCTGTTTTTCCTAGCAGCTTGAATATCACCAAATATTGTTTACAGTTATCACACTAATTTGAAAAAACACACTAGTTATTATGGGTTGAGAAAATATATAAAATCAGTGAAAAATAATTTATTTAAATTTTTTCAAAGATGGTTTCCTCTTACCACCTCCTTCTGACAAGTGCTGCCTGAAATTTGGGGGAGTAGTGTATGTCACTTCTTCCTGCATCAAGACTTCAATTCATACTAATCAAGAATAAGAAAGGAAGAGTAGGATATGAGTCAGTGTTAGCTGATTTGATTCCCAAGTGGAGGTGGGTTTCATTCTGGTGGATGTGTGAAAATGCTTAGAAAAATATGGCAATATTTCAGTGCTGAGAAGAAATGACATAATTCCTTTTGCCTCTTCATTTCTTTTCTTTTCAGTCTGTTTGGCCTCTTGCCTTCTGGGTCTTGCAGATGGTCTTGAATATATCAGGGACACTAAACGTGAGACTGACTAAGGGATGTTGTTACTTTGCCAGGATCTTCTTTTTGTAACTGAAGGCAGGAATCCTTTCCTGAATGCCTTTTCTTTTTTTTCCTTTTTTTTTTCCTTTTTTTTCCTTTTTTTTTTTCCTTTTTTTTTTTCTTTTTTTCTTTTTTTTTCTTTTTCTTTTTCCTTTTTTTTTTTTTTTTTTTTTTTTTTGACATCCTTACATACCTGCATGTTTGTAGGTTTTATAATTCAAATCCAACCATTATAAACCATGGTATGGTATAAGCCTTCCAGAAAGATTTCTGGGTGTTCTGATACATTTTTTCCTTTCAAGCAGATGAGTCAAAGGTCTACTTCCATATCCTCAGTACAGAAGCCTCTATCACATCCTATTTCCAGCTTTATAAAAGGATCAAAAGTTGCTCCTGATTTGCCAATCTAGCTGTTCTAAGTGGCCTGCCAAAAATACACTCAGAGGTGATGTGTGAGGAAGGAAATATAAACCATGTGCACTGTGTTCACATAAAATTGTTCCTAGGCTGACTTACTCCCTATAATGTTAAATATAGGGAGAACATTATAAGAAAAACTAGAGCTATGATCTGAGTGTTTCCCAACTGCCTCTGTGCTCCCTTGCTCTGTTCTTCCACCAGGTAGATAGAGTAGTGCGTGGCAGTGGGAGCTGAAGGGGAGCTGCTGCAGGCTGCGTTTCAGGACCATGGAGAAGGCCACAGTAGGGCTGCAGCTTCTTTTTTTTTTTTTTTTTACTATTATTATTATTATTATTATTATTATTACTACTACTTTTCATTCAGATGATTTAAAATGGATGTGAAGCATTTAATGGAATCCAAAATCTAGAAATGCACATGACTACATGTATGGGAAACTGGTGAGATGCGTAGTGTGGGCTGCTATGAGTTAAACATCTCAGCATCAGATCTGATGATTTGCCACTGAAAAATTCCTTGGTATTCACAGGAGGGAAAGACCCACTGACATTCTGGAGTTAAGATTTGTGCAACCCAAAGGAAACTCTGATTTACAAACAGAATTATACCGAATTATTAAGCAGCCTTCCTCTGTGTTTTGAAACTAGTTATAAAATGTCATGTCCTTTTCTCTTGCAGACTTTCTACTAAGGAGAGAATTCTGATTTGCCAAGAAAGTGCCTTGAAATCTTCCAAGACAGAGAAGACATCTTTTACCTTTTTGATTTACAACATTTTGTTACTAGATGCATTTTATTTTCATATATTTGTTGGACATTCCATATTTGTGTGAAACATTTTATTTTAATTTGTAAATTTGTTGCCTATAGTTCAGACAAGACAATTATTTAAATACATTGTATATAAAGAATACTAATAATATACTGATTAAATGTTATAACCACATGCAGGGAGTTGGTAAAAAAATTGGTGTTTCTCTTGTTCCATTGTATTTACATCATTTTGCTCAGGCTCTTACTTTCATTATTTGCACTAACTTGAAATGCTGAAGTCTATGTAACTGAAATCTGAATAAGCTGTGGGGAAGTTTTACTTGCCATGGAAGATATTTTATATTATGAAGCTTTGTTAATATATACATATATATTATTGCGCATCAGAAAAAAAATGCTCAGAAATGCACCTTGCTTTCAGGAACATTTGTATGACTATTTGGGATTATCATCAGTTACATTTGTACTGGCACTTATGGAAAGAGTTGCAAATAATGTAAATATAAAGACTGGAAAACTGCAATGCAGTTTTGGTGGAATAAAGAACATAAAAAGAAACCGTTTCCCAGGGTGGGTATTTAAATTTATTAAGGGGTTACTTATTTAATACACATCTTTAATTTACCTGGTGAAGTCAAAATAATTTTCCACTGAGAACTACAAACTCGTGGGTTTACCTTTTTTGCATTTTTTTTTTTAAGTAAATTTTATTCAGGCATTTATTCTTCAGCTAAATGCGGTGCCAACAAAAACACATTATGCACCCACTGTGAACAACAGAAACCTTCTGTGAGTGTGAAAAGAGCATAATAGCCCTGTAGAAGAGAAAATACTGAGGGAAAATAGTATCATAAAATTGTATCATAAACTGAAGGGCATAATGAAAGTATTTGGCTGGTAACACATCAAACAAATATTTGGGAAGATTCCAAAGCACAATTACTTTCTTATTTAAACTTAAATTGTGGTGTTAACAGTTGCTACCCATTTGTCTCAGTTCTATTATTCCGAGTATTTTTGATTGATTGTCAAAGAATCTGGTATGAAGTAAGAAGCGAGAATTTTATGGTCAGGCATAGAGTAATTGACAACACATGTTCACTGTGCCCAGATCACAATTCTTGTGATTAATTGACCATTGAAAAGCACTGCCCCAGATTGGTTGTGCCATCCTTTCCCTCAGTGTAGGCTTTGTGATCCTGATACTTCTATGGCCACTTATGAGGAAAGACTAAGTGAGCTGGGCCTGTTTAGCCTAGAGAAGAAGAGATGGAGAGGGGACCTTATCAACCTTTATAAATACCTTTGGGGACAACGTAAAGAGGATGAGGCCAAACTCTTCTCAGTGGTGTCCAGTGACAGGACAAGGGGTAATGAGTATAAATTGAAGTACAGGAAGTTTCATTGCCGTATATGGAAGAACTTTATGGTTCAGGTGACAGAGAAGAAGGAGCATACAGGAAGAAGCTGCCCAGAGATGTTGTGGAGTCTCCTTCTTTGGAGATATTCAAAACCCACCTGGATGTGATCCTGTGTAATGTGCTGTAGGTGAGTGGGGGCTTGGGCTAGATGATCTCCGGAGGTAACTCCCAACCTCAACCATTCTGTGATTCTGTGATTACTTCTCCCTCTACAGAATAGCAGGGAAATGTTGCTCTGAGATTCCTTGTCAAATAGTGTACAGCTGCCTTATTCTTACATTCAAAGGGATTTAGTTTCTTCTTTCTAAATTGCAGTCTTTTAGCATCAAAGATGGGCTGGGTCCTATCACGCACCAGTCAGACCAGCTCATACCTTCTCCAGGTACTGTTACATTCTGCCTGGGCAATAATATATTAAACCATTTGTTTCTAAACAGCTCGTTACTCACAGCTGTTTCCTTTGTTACTCCCTCTGTAGTCCTGGCTAGAATGTTGAAGTCCTGTGCTGTTTGTATTTATTCTTTATATGATTATTTCTAAACCTTTTTGCCATTGTATTTTTTTGATGAGAGCAAAGATTTCAAGCTACATTCTAATCTATGTTGAAGGCAGTATTCATACTGAAAATAGAGAAATGTATCTGTAATCCAGTGTCAGAATGGTGAGACAGGTAACCATGTTTCTCTGTGAGTAACGTATTTCATAGAAGTTTGGCCATATTTCATTGGCCAAAACAAGTCTGTGGGTGGCTCAGAAACACTGCAGCTAGAAGAGAAAGGATGAGGTGAGAGAAGTCCAGAGTAGAGATTAGAGGTTCTGAGAAAATCTTCCTTTTTAAGTCTTGCTTTTGCATTTTCCATTCTGATTTGTTTTCATCTCAGTTTCTCAAGTTAGGAAAAAAAAAAAAAAAAAAAAAAAAAAGTCTCTCATAACTTCTTTCACTCCTCAAGGGACTGAAGATAATGAAAGGAGAAACAGAAAAAATGCCCTTTTCTGAAAAGGAGTGAGAATTTCTGAAAAGGGAAATGAGAATTCCAATGAGAAAACCTCATCTGGTTTGTTTAATGTAGTTCTGGGTCTCCAATCTAATATGCTAAATCAAGAGCTTCATCTTACTTTGTGAGAATAAAGACATCTTCTTCCTATTGAGTGCTCAGCTCCCTACCTTTGGGAAGTTATAAACAGACGTTATAAAGACACTAAGCAGAGATTAAAGCACAGAGTTAAAATGTTGGCAAAGTGGAAAAATAATATGTGAAATAAATTAGAGAAGACAAACCCGCCATTCTAATTTGGAAGAAATCATAATGCTTAGTGGGGTTTTTTTGTTTGTTTGTTTTTTTTTGTTTGTTTTTTGTTGTTAGCAAGATATTCTTTGAGGCAGCTGTGGCATGGATTCCTTCTTTCTTTTCAGCCCTAGAGGCTTTTTGATGCTCAATATGCTCTGAGTGGCTGGAATTAAAACCAGATTTTCTGTACCCTCCCTCTATTATTACATCTGTCACCATTCATCACCATAGTGCCTAGATGCAAAGTTACTAAAGTTAGTAGTATAGAAATTACAAAATAGTGTAACATAGTCACTGTACTATTTAACCTGAAACATGTGATGTTCTTCTTTTGTTTTAAAACTTGTCAATAGGCCTAGATTGTAGGGACCAATTCTGGAAGGTGATTATTTGAAAATAAATAAATAAATAAAATAAAAAACTGCAGGCCATAGAAGCTGAGAGGCGATGGTATGCTTTAAAGTAAGCTTTGTAGACAATGTGACAGTATAAAAAATCGTAAGCGTCAGAAACAGAATTTTCAGCATAGAACAAGACATTAGTTTTAAGGAAGAGATAACCACAGAAAGCCTTGAAAATGAAGAGGCAGAAATATAGAAAACAAAAATTTGCTAACTCACTTTTTGTACACAGACAGGAAGGTACCCTTTCTGAAGTCTTGTAAAAGTGATGGTGGAGTAACTGGGATATAAAAAAAAATACAGCATGAATACACATTCAGTTCATATCATAAAGATTTTATAAATGGCTATAGATATTTACAGGCACAGGAAACCTCCCTTATGTAGAGACCTAAATTATTTTAATCTGGACAAAGAAGTCAGCACCCTTTGGATCCCACATGATCCTATTAATAACCTGTGGGATCCCTAACTCACTTGGGTCCAAAGGTTCCATTGGTCAACAAAAATGAAGACATTTCTCCCAGATATGTCGCAACAACCTAGCAAAGGGAGGTTTAGAGTGAGAGACTGAATTACATCTGATTGGTGTGGAAGGCTAAGATGAGTGGCTGTGATTCTGGGGAAGCAAGAATCCAGCCCAACCACCCTTTTCATCCTATGGCCAGGTGCTACCTGCACTGGAGATGAGTTGGGAAAATAAATAAAAGAGAGGTACAAATAAGAGGAATACGGATAGTTAGCACAACTACTACTGCACTGGAGTGTGGGATTGAACTCACTACACAATTTGTAACTGGCCTACATATCATTTCGTCTCTCCTCCATTAACTGTCTTAACAGCTGAGCTTAACCCCAGTCTTGGACACTTACCCCCTCATTGCCTCTGTGAATATACAAGCCTTATCACCTACTCACAGGCAGGTGTTCATAAAATAAAATGTAAGTTATCATTATTCAAAAGCTGCCATGTCAATATTTATGAGGACATAAAAGAGATGAATCCAGTGGCAAAACAGGATAAAAAAAAATTTGCAAAGCTCTGATGTAGTTTCACTGTTAGAAAATGATACTAAAATTTTGACAGATTATGCCATTTGATAGCATGTCATTTACTCTTTGACCCAGGGATATTGTTTTCAACAGTTCACATCATACCAGCATCAATTTACCATCCATGTAGGCTGATTTTACCATGTCTGAGTGCAATCAGTTTAGCTTTGATTTTCGTTTGTCCTTATAATACCCATAATTATATGGAAGTGCTACAATTCTGCCCTTTGCTATTGTATTTGATCCATTGACCTACTTGCAGTGTCAGAAAATTTCTGTGCAGTGCCCTTTTATTAAAGATGTTTCTGCTAAGGATATTTGCTGAAAATACTCATTGAAACCACTCTCCACTTTTACACAGAATATGTTGGCTTTTGTACTTTTTATATGAAGCAACAAATTCAAGAAATGATTACTGTATCAGTTGCTAAAAGCTAAATTGGTATTTTATATTTGAAATATTCCTTGACGACCATACACTCTTACTTACAAAGCACATTTTTTCAATAGTCTTCTGGTCTCTGCTATATATATATTAAGAGATTATAATTTATGTAATTATTATTCCTTTCCTAGTTAACATTCTCATTGGCTATTTGACTACTGCAGAGCAATGAACTGATGTTTTCACTGAAATACATAGATTACAGATCTCACTCTTTGGTAGTAAGTGTCAGCTCAAAGCCTATCATTGTATATATGCATAAATAAACAATATGACTTTTCTCTTGTGCATTGCATTATGGTTGTGCACACCAAATTTAATTTTCTTGTTGGGGCCTTTCACTCGGTATCATAAGGTCTGTTGATAAGGTTTTACAGGCCCGCTTCCATTTTTTAAAACCAAGTGACTTTTTAATCAGCATCAAAAACATTTAAGACTGTTCAGTTTTTTGATCTTTTCATAGTAGAAGGTCATTTTATGCACTTGGTCTTAAGAGAGGGCTAACAGAGAGAGCAAACCACAGACTTTTTTTTCTTCTCCCTTTTGAAGCCTACTTCTCTCATTAAATATGCCTCTGCCTTATGGTATTCTTCCTGATCCTGCTGGAAGGTATGAAGATCCATATAACTCATGCATTTTCTTCATGGCATCTTGAATAGGCATAAAGTTCCCGAAGAGATTGCTCAGATGAAGAGATATGAACATAAATATTAGTTTCTACCAAGCATGCTTTTGACTACATCAAACAAGCTGATGTGTGTTTGTTTTTTGTTTTGTTTTGTTTTTTTTTGTTTGTTTGTTTGTTTTCATATCACCTTTTATATCACTTTACATGAGAGTAGCCTCTTGTGTCAATTCATTGCATCCTGTATTGTGAAGACACTAATCCATTCAGCAGAAGTGTGTACTTATTGATTATGATTTCCTGGGCACCTCTGGTTATCCTTTTTGCCCCTGTCTCATCTTTCCTTATTTAAATTATCAACTGATATTTGCACAATTAAGATCCTGTATTCCTATAAATTTAAATATTTGAAGATGAAAGCTCTGTCCCTGAAGGCTCATAAACATGCTGATATCTATATCCAGTGGAAATTTCTGCTGTGACAGTTCCTAGCAGCAAAGTTTCATTTGATTTGAATGTCTATTTATTTATTTGTTTAACTGGAGGATTTAAAAATTAAAGAAGCAAAAAGCTTGAAGCAGACAAATGTGGGGGTAAAACTTTCACTTCACCTCATAAATCTGTGCTGACTGCCATTTGGAGATCTGTCAGTTGTGCACAGTCACTACAACCCTAAAGCTGCAAAAATCACTTGGAAGTTAACCCTCTCTCAGAGCTTCTATATGTCTGATATACAGTGACAAGTTGTCTGGGTACAACAGCATTACTTCACAGTTAAGACTATTTCCAATCACAGTAAAACAAAAGCTGTTCCCATTCTTATATTTTGTCATTTCCACCTAAACTATCCTTTAGTAGCAAAATTGGCAATATCTGTTTTATAACACTGTAATTAGGAGAAAGAAAGAAAAAAAAAAGAGAGAAGAAAAAAATAGACAGCTTGTTTTGTTTTATTTATTTATTTATTTATTTTAATGTTTGTTGATTGCTTTTCCCAAAATAGCTCTATTTGGATTGCTGAATACCTTGTTTCCAAATACCGAGAGGAAATACTTTCAGAAGTGAATAAAATAACTTTTAAAGAGAATTTTACTTCTCTTCAAAGTAAAATCCTGAGCAAATAAAGTTATGTGAACTGACTCAGTCTTGAGGGTAGTGTATACTTAAGAATATTTTTAAATCAAAGTGTCTTTATATATGTAGCAGATGAAAAGAAGGAAAAACTTTTACCAACCTTATATATGTGTACCTTAAATCTGATTGTGTTGTTCTATTAAGTTCTACTAAGTATAGCACATTGTCTTCTAACTTTTACCTTTATCTTTTTAGTCAACATACTGATATAATTATTTTCTCTTACTTTGTAAGTTGCTTCTAAGGTTTTATTATATACTATTTTTCAACTATCAGCTATTACTGCTTTGTCT